GGATAAAATGTTACTGAACAATTAAATGATCAGGTAATCTTGCTAATATAAAGTAAAATAAAAGAAAATTGAAGAACAAATAAAACAGATGATAAGGACATATTAGAACTTAATTGAGTAGTCCCCAAACCTGAGCCCTTAGAAGAAGTACCATTAGCAAGAGTAACAATATGAGGGGAGATAACATAATGATAAGTAGAAAAAATACCAGACGAACCAATCATGTGATCAGAAGCGTCAAAACCTATGATTTAGGGATAGTGAGTGGAAGATAGTAAACATGTGAAAGCAGTATCTGATTGGACAAAAGTAGCAGTGGAAGAAGATGGGACTGCCCATTGTTGCGACATGAACTGAGCATACCCCTCCCATATAATAGTAACTAAATTAGAGTTTGGAAGAGCCAGATGGGATGATGCTACTGGTAAAAAGGAAGGATCATCCCGAAAAGAAACCTGATAAACAGCACCAGAGGGCTTGCCATGTATATCCCAATAATAATTAACAGTGTGGTTGGTACGATTACAATGAGTACATAAACAAGTACCCACGGCCTCTATTATGGCCCCCGCGACCACCATAACCACCGCGATTGCCACGGCCACCACAAGTATTAGTACTATTGCCATTAGAGACAACAAGAGATGAATGGTCAGCACAAGAACCATGATCAATTTCAAAGAGTAAAAAAGCGTCGGTCAATGTAGCACACTGTAAACAAGAGAAATCCTCGAGAAAAGATGGCAGACTTGGACCACCTAAGATCTGGGCATGAATAGGCTCATACTTGGACTTCAAACCAACAAGAAAACGAACAATATCCATATCGTCACACTATTGATGCAAAAGTGTAAACTCAGTGGTGAACGGGTGGTGTATCCTCATCTCCTGACAAACTCCCCTAACTTGAGAATAATAGTCTTGTAAATTCAGAGTACCTTGCTCAGCACTAAAATATTATTTGCAGACCTCTAAAGCACGGGTAAAATTACATATACCAAAATACATGATAGTCAAATGATCCCATATCTCCTTAGTAGTATCGAGATAAAGCACTGTAAAGTTAATACAAGACTCAATGTTATTCAGCAGTAACGAAATAATCTGGGCATCCTTTTGTTCCCACTGATCAAATCCATTATCACTTTCATTGGCCTTTTGTCCCACCAAATACTTTTTAAGACCCTTACCTTTAAGAAAGACTAGAACCTAGCGGGACCGTGACACATAATTGGTTCCATTGAGCTTCACTGAAGTCATTGGTTAGGAAAGTGTAGGTGGAAAGGTTGTAGTAGATGGAAATCAGTCTTGGGTTCCATAGTAGCACAAGTAAAACAAACAATACAAAAACGTCTCCTAAGTAGTGCAAGATCAGTAGAGGATAAGAAAACAAAAGAGTAAAAGTAGAAGGAACCAAGTTAGGAGTGTCAAGCAACACAAATGTATGGAATAGAAGGGTGGACCAGCTGCAACGGAAGCAAAACCAGGTTGGAGAAGGCACTGAATAGGCTGGACACACTAAAACGGCTGAAAAACGTCAAAACCGGAGTGAACCGAACTGAAGGGACCTCTGAATAGGCTGGAAGATGCTAAACCGGCTGGAACAACGCCTAAACCGAATTGAAGTGGCCTCTGAACTGACTGGAACCTGACTGAACCAAGCTTAAGAAGCCTCTGAACTGACTGGAATGTATTGAACTGACCAGAAACACACTGAACTAGTTTGAACTGGTTGTAAACCCACCTGAACCAGCCTGATCTGGACCTGAGCATGCCTGAACCGGACCTAAGCCTGAGTCAGGAAAACCGGATGGTTTGATTGGGTGTGGGCTAGACCTAAGCAACTTGGGCTTTGAAGGCTTAGGCCTAAAGTGGACCTGTGCAAGTTGGGCTTTGTTGGACAGTGGGCCTCTGCGGGACAATGGGCCTCTGTTGGGTTAAAAAGAAGATTGGGCTGGATCAATTAACAAGATTAAAAGGCGCTCCACTTGACGAGGGCTACACGTCTATACCAACTACGACCCGTTTCTCCAAATTTTCAGAAAAGGGGAGTTTTAATCTAGACTTGGGAGACTTCGTTTAAGCATTCAAAGGAACTTTCCTACGTTGCTCACGCTACAAGGGGTAGCGTGCCCACCAATCTAGATTTACTTTCAACCTAGGATTGCGATATAAAATTGGTATGGCTATTGAGATGTAACCTCATATGTTAGCTCACACCTAGTGTACCTAGGGTATGGAAAATGAATATATGAGCATATTAAAAATCATTTCTACCTTGATTTGAGTTTGGTTATGAAATGTGAACCTGCCGATAGGAGAGGCACAACCTACCTGTTGGAGAGACACAACCTACTGGTAATAAGATGTTTGGGTTTGATGAAATAACTTAGTTTGGGATGTTATGTGTTTACATTTATGCTCACTAAGTGTTTGATCAAACACTTTGGGTTCAAGTATGTTATTTGTATTGAAATCATATGTGACATACTTGGGAATGTTTGTAAAAAATAGACATGTTATTATATGTTGTATAATATGATGAGCGTGATGATATAAATTACAATTGTGTATTACACTTGCATATACATGAAAAATATCGCATTCGTGAGCATACGACATGAGTGTGGGTGTGTGTGCATATTTTTAATTAAACACCACTCTTGGTGGGTTGATACGTGGGCTTGGAAAAGTTGGACCTACGTCTGACTGAGTCACACAGGTTTGCACTGAAAAAAATATCGGCATTAACAAGAAAGATTAAATTCTCCCTCGGATGCAAGAATTGGTGATTTCGGATGCGCACTTCTGTTAGTATTGAGTCCATAAAATGTGTCGGTGTATGCGGAACCGTCGGTGAAAGTCCACACATTCCATGTCAGTCAGGTGACCATTGGTGTAAATCCATAAATACCTACCCCAGAAAGACACAGAATTTATAAAGTAGTCATTGAATGTCCAGCATCAATGGCGGGGGTTTGGAATGTCCTGATGCGTACACATGGCATAGCATGTGTTATGGGAGCAGATGGGGCTTGGAGTTGCATTGCATGCGTGTGTTCTCATCTCATAGCATGACATAAAAAGGTAACAACATTCGTTTATGAAATATATATATTTGACTAGATGCTTGACATGGTATTTGCCCGTGACATTTCTTATGCATTTGGGTTGGGAGGTGATCTCCCTAGGAGATAACTTATTGAACGTGACTCACCCTTTATGGAAATATATTTCAGGCGATGGACAGGCTTCCGCTGGCAGCCCTCACTTGGTCTCGTATTCATGACAGAGCCGGCTAGGGCTCTTGAATTATATTTTTTAGTCCCTTGCTTATATTTACATTTGGCCTTGTATATTTTAAGCATAAAACTGGCATTTTGTTAAAAGCATGTAATAGGACTCTTATAAGCATTATTCTTTTGTGAGTGAATGAATGAATGTTGTAGATGTTGGTATACAATACTATATTGATTGTATATTGATGGTTGGAACCTAGTGTGGTCAATGGTTAGGATTGCACAGGTTATGTGTGTTGGATAGTGCTCCCTGTACAAAAAAGACCCTGCCCAAATTTTGTTAAAAATTATGAACCCTGGTGAATAGGATATCATTGCGTGCTATCCGTTTAAGTGGTATCACCGGGTTATTTCAGGGGTTGATGGGTGATCAACGGGTTAGTCGAGGAGTCACACTACCTCTCACACGCAACTTATATTTATAGTTACCTAACATCAATACAAAAGACTAGTATACCGTCAGAGAAGTACACATATTACATCATAGTAAATATTACACCAACACTCTCAACATCAAGCAAACCTTTTTGTCCCAAGCATTCTTGTTTAGTGTCATGAAAAACTACAGATATTAGTATAAAAACAGAAATAGAACCAATTTGAAAATCTTTGAATGTGGGCTCAATGTGTTCCATTGTAAAACTTAAAATGGCCAATCTAGCATAATATGGTGCTTAACAAGATAGAGAGAAATTCAAGAATTTTTCGGGCACTTAACATGATACTCGGTGATGAATAATATAGTTTAGAAGATGTGTCTTCCTATCTGATTTTATGGACTATTTGGGGAGAGGAAAAAAGGATGGAAAGACAAAAATTTCATCGTTTGGTATGAAAGGAAAATAGGAGAGAAAGGAAAGTGTAGAGGATTTCCATTCCCCTCCCCCCGCCCACCAAAATTTTTGCCCCCAAATCTGGTCGGAAAATGAGACAGAAAGTTTGTACTTTGGGCCAAAATATGGTAATTTTACCTTTTTACCCCATGCTAACTAAACAACTATCCAGTTTGAACAACACAGGTTCTGAACCTTCAAGAAGGAAGAAACAAGGAAAAAAAGAAGAAAAAGAATAAGTTAAAGTGGAACTCGTGTGGTGCTACCAACTTCAACTAGATTTCGGTTCATCGGTTACAAGTTGTGTCATCCTCTTCAATTTTTTGTGATTCACTCTCTCTCTCCCCATCTAAATCTATATACATATATCACTATCTATTTATGTAGCTGTAGCGAAAAGTTGGGCAATTTGTCTCTATAATTTTTCCTACATAGAACCAAACAAATAGAGAACAAGGTAGAATAAAGAGAAGAGAGTTTTGTGTGTGGTTGGCCACATTGCCACGTGGTGAGTACTGTAGAGAAAAATTTATAGCCATGTGCAATTTAGATGGTTTGGCATGAAAGTTTTCCATTTTCTTTGCCAGTAACATTCCACATAACAAGGATAGAATGGTAAATTTGATAATATATGCATTTTCCTCTCCTTCCACTTTTCTTTCAATAACAGACAATAGAAAATTTATCTTTTAACATTTTCATCCATCTTACCAAACAAAACACTAGGAAAGTCTTTTCTGTCCCAAAGGGATGAAAAATTGATTCCTTCATATTTTTCATTCTTTCAATTTTCTATCCTTACCAAACAAGCCATTAGACTTTTTATTTTCTAGTTTGATCTCTCCTCTTCCCTTTCTCACCACAAGGATTAGCCAGTTACTTGGTTGAATACTTCAAACGGCTCCATAGGATCATCCATCAGAATGACATTTGGGTAAAGACAACAATCTTGCTGTAAATGGGGAATGCGCCCTCATTTAAGTCCACTTGATGTACATAACAGGGGTAGGTTGCCCAGTTCAATTTTCCAGCATATAAAAGTAACTGTAGTTTGATAGCTTGACCTTTTTGCAGTTCGACTAGAACTTGTATTACCTGTGCATCAGTACCACCAGCACCTGCTGTGATAGAAATAATAGCGCCTTCTTTATCATAGGGGCCAGAAAGTAGCTGAGTTAACTCAAACTGATCCAATGCCTTGTTCAATACTCTAATGATACTAGCGGCTTCTTCAAGAAGCCCTGTATCAATGGAGTCCATCTCCTCAGTAAGCTTAATTATGGTTTCTGCATCTTCAACCTGCATAAAACATGTGGCTCCAACTCATTACTTAAATATATAGTAAGGTAAGTCACATTTCTGGACTGGTCCACAAAACATTTAAATGAAATTTGAAAGTGATCATAAGAACAGCTATACACAAGGATATGAATTGATTCTTGGACAAACCAGATTGTCAAATCATGATAATTTCACTCACTCATAAGACATCCAATTTCAGCTAAGGTATTAGATTTAGAACCACTGTGTATGTTGCCAATATCAAACAAGTAGGGCAAAATGTTGTTCATTTTGCAGCATAATTGCTGCGAACATTAACAAATCAGTTAGCTGAGTTATCTTTCAAACTCTCAATTATGACTTCTCAAGAGCCATATCGCTCTCTGCTATCAAAAGTTGCAATCATAAACAAAGTTGGCAAAATTTTCATATTTGAAATCCTGCTAACTTCAAGTAAACTCCCAAGGTCATCATTGAAGAAAGCTAAAATTAAATTTTCTGCTTTATAAATCTTTCGACTTAAAATTAGTATGGTTAGGGTTAACTCAGCTTCAGACATTTCAATCAAAACAGTGTCATAAGAGCAGTACAATCCTCGGCCTGAGAGCCTAAAAAAAGTTGCTTATTCTCCAAGGGAATCAATTTTGGACATCCCTCATTATAAGTTTCTAGTGGATCTACAAGGTACTTGATGCAGATTTCCAGATTTTTGTGATGTAAGGAGTCATGTAAATTTCATAAAATGAGGTGACCCCATGTTTCAAAAAGCCATTGGAGGTCTAGCTATTTTGATATACTCAAATTTTAACCAAACATTTCCTGCTAAAGAAAGCCTATCAGTTATTTCCTTTTTCAGATACATACCTATGGATTATTTCTCGGCCCCAGTTTTAAGAGAATCTTGAAAACAAAGATCAAACAAAGGGAAGAAAAGAGAAAAGAAAATGAGAGAATATATTATGGCTATGTTAATCTGTCATCATCAATCGCTAAGATACGTGGTAGAAGCCCTTTTATAGTAGGGCAACGTAAAACAAGGTAAATGACTAACCTACCCCTGATACTAATATGATAGAATACTCTAACAAAATTTCATTTCTAAATAGTGTGCTAAAGTGAACTTCTTGTCCTGTTATTGTCTCAAGACTCATCTGGAAGAAATAACTCATTTGACAGATTGCTGGGGATGGAACTAAGATGGTAGGATCCTTGGTCCTCTTTTTAAGGGGCAATCTTTCAGGATTTTTTGGGTATGTAATTGGTGATCTCACTATAAAAAAATGTACAACCTTGGAAGTATGCTTCGTCTACTCCCTTGAATAATAATATTTCAGCTATTCCATTCTTATTACCCTAATGTCATCTTAGGAACTCAGAAACTAGCAACTTCTAAAACAGTTCACAAATTGCTTGCAAACAAAGATAAGGTTTGATGTGATAGAAGAGGCATGTTATACCTCCGGCAAAATATCTGTGAATGTTTCAGCTAATGTTTCGGAATGTAGTATTATACATTTTCTTCCTGAAAAGTTAAGACAAAAGATCGACATCTTTACTAAACATTATTTCCATCAGGAAAGGAAAATAATTGGTATAAAAAAGGTGTCTGTAGACATTGCCTGCATTTTGTTTATACAAGAAGCAATCCCAGACCATCTCCTTCTGCTATTGTGAGAAGGATTCAGCATGCGTCCCCTTGCTCTTGAGACATAACAGGGACCCGATATCATCCAAAACGGCTTAATGCTTTATGGAATCTCATTGGCTTTACAAGAAAGTATGTTCCTGACTAACAATGATAATTGTTAGTATAAATTGGGTTACATGTGTTGGAGATCTACTTTCATAACTAGGGTGAGTCATCAGTTTCGTCTAAGTTCAAACTGGCACACCATGTTAGGCACATGTCTATCCTGATAGATCCTACTAATTCATGTCGAAGTGTCCTACCCACTCTGCATGTAGCTTAAAAGAGTCGAGTCTAGTGTCCAGATAGGAGGTCACCTCCTTGTTAACAATGATCAAAAGACAAGAAAAGAAAGAGTAGAGAAGAGAAAGAAGATATTATTACGGCTAATCCAATTTGTAATACAACTTAACCTAGAATAAACAATGTAGGCCCTTATATAGTTAGACAACATAATAAAGTAAATGTCTAAACTACCCTTAATACAAATACTCTAACAATCCCCTCAAACTCATGATATGGTGGAAAACATCAAGAGTTTACCAAGAAGAAATTGAAAGCATGTGATGGTGTGAGAATTCGTAAAAAAATACGCTATCTACATAATGGAAGAAAAAAAGTGGAGAGTAATAGTACCCAGTTGAAGATGGTGGCGCACAAAGTAACAATCAATCTCAATATGCTTTGTGCACTCATGGAAGACCGAGTTATGAGCAATCTGAATAGCACTAGTGTTATCACAATACATTGGAGTAGAAGATATGAAAATGCTAAGATCAGCAAGTAGTCATCGTAACCAAACTATCTCAATTGTGGTTGATGTCATAGCACGGTACTCAGCTTCAGTAGAAGAACGAGCAACAACAATTTGTTTCTTATTTTCCCGAAAAATAAGAGAATCTCTAAGAAAAAGGTAGACACCAGTGGTGGAATTGTGATTCATAGAGTTACCAGCTCAATCAGCATCTGAGTAAGTCCTGAGTTTTATAGAGGAGTAATGAGAAAATATTAGACTTTGATGTAGAGTACTACGAAGAATTAGTAGAATGCAAAGAACAGCAGCCTAGTGAACAGTCGGTGAGGCGATAAACTAACTCACAATATGAACAGCATAAGAGATACCTAAGCATGTAACCCTAAGATATACTAGACCCCCAACAAAGTGCAGTAGAGAGTAGAATCAAGAAGAAGAGTACCATCAGAGGAAAATACGGAACATTGAGTTCTAAGGGTGTATCAACTGTCCGATTATCTAATAAACGAGCTCGCTCAATGATACATACTTTGTGTCACACCCCAACTCCAAGGGCATGACCGGCCGTGAACCATTGATCCATAACCTATAGAAAACGTAAGCCTAACAATAAACTAATAATATAGGAGCAAAAAATAACATTAACACTAAATTGATCTCATTTCAATATATCAAAGTCAACATACCTAAACTTATTTGCCCCAATTATCCAAACAAGTAAAGATGGTTATACGATATATGCTACGGAGGTCACAGCACTATTAGTTCCCAATTAATTCCCTGAGTCCGCCATTGACACTCCAATCTTTTACCTAAAAAAAATATTATTTTGAAAACATGAGTTAAAAAGCCCGGTGAATGAAAAGGCATGCATATTCAAAGTGGCTGAAAAACATATTTGGCATATGACATGTAAATCAAAGGTTTGAAAAAATAACTTTATCAAGATAACCAATTACTCAAGAATAACACAATCAGATTCCAACAAGAAATCATACCACAATGGTGAATCATATCATAATGGTGGAGACCGTATAATATCTAATAATCGATGGGAATCAAATACAAAATACAATAACTGATAACAAGAAAATACGTATGGCATACGATAGATAATCATAAACAAAGCTAGTAAAAACGTTGTGATAATAATAAATTATAGCATCACCTTCATACTGGTAAAGACTTGTACGATATCTGAGAACCATACCAAATGCCAAAAGATATCAAGGTTGGATTCAACATCATACTTAGGGTCACCACGGGTTGCCGCCCGGGAACTGTTTCCTAAGACGATCCGGTGAAGGTCACCAGGACGCACCAAGAATTGTTTCTTCAACCGTTGAGCACTAGGGTCACCTCAGCCTCCCCGGGTCTGTTCCTTAGTGGCTAGGGTCACTCGTACACAGAGGAATAATTTTTTCGGACTTTTAACCAAATGCCAAAATATATCTCAGGGTTGGATTTAACATCGTACTTAGAGTCACCACGGGTTGTCGCCCGAGNGCCAAAATATATCTCAGGGTTGGATTTAACATCGTACTTAGAGTCACCACGGGTTGTCGCCCGAGAACTGTTTCCTAAGACGATTCGGTGAAGGTCATCAGGACACACCAAGTACTGTTCCTTCAACTATTGAGCACTAGGGTCACCTCAGCCTCTCCGGGTCTATTCCCTAGTGGCCAGGGTCACCCGCACATAGAGGAATAATTTTCCTGGACTTTCAATCATGGTCTCATTCACTATCACAAAGTCTCACCATATAAACAAATGATTGAGTCACAATACTTCACAAAAGAGTTCATCAAAGTGATCAAAATTGTAAGCCGCAAATATATAGACAATTAGTAAAGCATTATTGTAAAGGTAGTAAAGAATAAACATTATGTATCATTTTTAAAATGTTTCAGGATATGGAAAAAATACGTAGCATGCCAACCACTCACCTCTAGTCCNCATTATTGTAAAGGTAGTAAAGAATAAACATTATGTATCATTTTTAAAATGTTTCAGGATACGGAAAAAATACGTAGCATGCCAACCACTCACCTCTTGTTCAAATGATATGTTTCTTGAGTGTTGCTTGTTACCCGAATTAGAGTGAGATGTTATTGATGGCTTTCCTCTTTTTCTCACATTTTTCTTTCTCATTTGATGAGGTGTTCTTCCTTCATTCTTCTCTCTTTTACTCTCTATTCTTTCTTGAAAGTGAAAGACTACTTGTGTCCTTCTCCCTTAATCCAATCCCCAAATACCCTATCTATAGGCATCCTGGGATTATTCTAGAGAATATTGACAACCTAGAATATTCTATCATCTCTCCTTGCNTGAAAGACTACTTGTGTCCTTCTCCCTTAATCCAATCCCCAAATACCCTATCTATAAGCATCCTGGGATTATTCTAGAGAATATTGACACCCTAGAATATTCTACCATCTCTCCTTTCNTGAAAGTGAAAGACTACTTGTGTCCTTCTCCCTTAATCCAATCCCCAAATACCCTATCTATAGGCATCCTGGGATTATTCTAGAGAATATTGACAACCTAGAATATTCTATCATCTCTCCTTGCCTAGATCCTTCTAGATTTCAAACTTATTTTGCACATGGCAATTTCAAAAGTATCTAGATTCATCTATGATATTCTAATGTCTTATCCAACCTTCTACGTTCTTCTAGAACTTTCCAAAACATTCTAAATCCCTCTAGAACCTTCTAGTATTTCTTAGAACCCTCTAAAATATTCTAGACTTCTCTACATTGTTCTAGAACTTTTCGNTGATATTCTAATGTCTTATCCAACCTTCTACGTTCTTCTAGAACTTTCCAAAACATTCTAAATCCCTCTAGAACCTTCTTGTATTTCTTAGAACCCTCTAAAATATTCTAGACTTCTCTAGATTGTTCTAGAACTTTTCGGATTCTTCTAGGAACTTCTTCAACATTCTAGATTCTTCTAGATTATTCTAGACTATTCTAGGTTATTCTTGAACTTTCTAGAATCTTCTAGAACTTTCTAGAAACTTCTCTAACATTCAAGATTTTTCTTTAAAATTTTTCTTATTCCTTACAAGATAATATTTCTAACTAGTTCCTTGTCAAATTGGAACGGGATATTACATTTTGATTGAGAAAGAATATAACTTTTAGGAGAAGAAGCAACCTCAATCCCCAAGAAATATTAAAACTGACCCAAATCTNATATTACATTTTGATTGAGAAAGAATATAACTTTTAGGAGAAGAAGCAACCTCAATTCCCAAGAAATATTGAAACTGACTCAAATCTTTCATCTCAAAGTGATCCAGTAACTGAGTTTTCAATAGGTTGATGTCAACAATATCATCACCTGAAATTATCATATCATCAACATAAAATAGGAAAAGAATAGAACTAGAGAAAATGGATCGTAGAAAGAGAGCAGGGTCATAATCACTAGCATAAAAACAAANCAACATAAAATAGGAAAAGAATAGAACTAGAGAAAATGGATCGTAGAAAGAGAGCAAGGTCATAATCACTAGCATAAAAACCCAGGTTACAAATGACTGATGAGAACTTGGCAAACTTGGCAAACCATGCCCTTAGAGCTTGTTTAAATCCATATAATACCTTGAGAAGTCTGTATACTTGACCACAACTATGAGACAACCAAGGTGGAAGAGTCATAAAAACCTCTTCAGATAAGTCTCCATGAAGAAAAATATTTTTCACATCAAGCTGAGACAAGTGCTATTGACAAATGGCAGCTACAGTAATCACAGTAGGAACAATGGTCATCTTGGCAACAGGGGCAAAAGTCTCACCATAATCTAACCCATACTCCTGAGCAAATCCCTTGGCTACTAACCGAGTCTTGTATCTTTTCACAGTACCATCTGATTTAGTTTTGATCTTATAAACCCACATACAGCCAATGGTGTGTTTGCCAAGAGCTAAAAGAACTAANACCATCTGATTTAGTTTTGATCTTATAAACCCACATACAGCCAATGGTGTGTTTGCCAAGAGCTAAAAGAACTAATTCTCAAGCTCGGGTCTTATGTAAGGCAGATAGTTCCTCATCCATAGCATGTTACCAAATAGTATCAAGCATAACCTCCTCATAGGAGGTGGGCTTCGAAAAAGAGTGAATAGAAGTGAGAAAAGCATAAAAAACTAAAGAATAACAAAAGTTAGAGAAACCAAACTTATCTGAACATTCGAGAGCGCCGAG